TATTTACTTTTTTCGTTGCCATTGTTAATTATTGATTTTATTTCATTTGTTATTTATTTGTTATTTTTTATTGTTTATGCACTTATTTATGTTAATTGTATGATTAATGAATATTTTAATTGTGTGTTTTGATATTCTTCATAAAATATCATTATTATAAAATAAAATATTAAATTATATTTATTTCACTATTGTTTATTTCATTTGATTATTAAATTAGTTTATTTCATTTCATTTATCTTTGTTTATATTTTATTTGGTTATTTCACTCCATTCTTTATTTTATTTCTTCATTTTTTTATTAAATTAAAAATTGATAAAACTTAAATTATTTGATTTTTCTATTAGTTCTAACAAGTTTATTTCAAATAACCATTTATTGAATTATTATGATTTCTTCAATTACATCACAACACAAAATGATGAACCTTCATTACTTTTGTTTTCTGTTTTATTTCTACTACTAACTTCAATCCATTCTCCATTAATAACTGTTTCATTTTTCTTTATTTTATTAATTCTTCTGCATTTCTTTATTTCATATGTTATACTAGATTTTGTTTCTTCTATTGTTTTACCTTTTTCTTCTTTTTCTTCATAGTCAAAGTCTTTATATTCACTGACTAATTTATTAATTTCTTCTGTATTAATTAATTTTAATCCTCTTCCCCATTCTATCATTTTCTTGATTGCAACATTTGATCTTTCATTTTTACAATCATCTTCATCTGGTTGTGAATATACAAAATACATTGGAATATCAATGGTTTCATTTGTTCCATTCATTTGTTTTATAAATGAAATTAAGTCTTCTTTGAATTGTTCTTTCTCAATTTTATCTTTTTCTTTTCCAAAGGAGTTAGGACATTTAGTCCATACAATACAAACACGTTTCCAAATGTCTTTTATTGTGAAAACATCGGAAATAACTTTAACAATGAATTTAAGATTAGCAGAAAATCTTTCTTTATTAATGTCAATTGTTAATATAATTCCTTGTAATCCATTGTTTTTTATACAATCAACAATATTTTGAATTTGTGTTTTATCAAGTTTATCACTATCATTAAAACCAGGTGTATCAATAACAGTTACATCACTTCTATCTCCTTCTCCAGATTTTACAATAGCTTCTTTTGTTTGTGATTTTGTATCATCACTTACTTCAAAAACATTCTTCTGTAAAATGAAATTAACAAGTGAACTTTTCCCATTTCCTGTTTCTCCAATTAAAAGGAATTTTGTTTGTTTTGGTTTATCTTCTGATACACTCATTGTTTATTTTGTAGTTTCCAATGATTTAAATATTATTTCGGTGTATTTAACAACAATTTTTGTTTTTGTCGAATGATGTTTATTTCATTTTGTTTATTATTTAAAGTTATTACAGAATATTTCTAACTCTTTTAATTCCTTTTTTATTGAAATACAACCCCTTTCATGTTATTTGTCTTTTCAAATGATGTTTTTATATTTTCATTTCACTATTGTGTGAAATTATATAAATTTGTAGAAATTATTTATAACAGCGTTTTAGTTTAATTTATATTTAAATTTTATTCAAAAATAATGAATAATTCTATTAACACAATAACACAATTTATTTTAATTATAATATTCAAATTGGATATAAAAGTATTATTTAAAGTATTGTCAATCAATTCACAATATTTTATGTAAATTAATGATTTAATTTTATTTATGGAATATAATGTTTATGTAATTAATTATAAGTTATAAATTTGTCACTCTTTTTCATGAAAATGTGTTTATTTAATTTGTCATAACTCTATCTTTTAATACTGAATTTATGATTAATTTTCATTAAATAACAACAATTGAAGTATTTTATCAATTATTTTATTATTTCAAAAAAACATATTATTTAATTTCTTCTTTTTTTCATTATTGTTTGTCTTTAATTTATTCAACATTTTCAATAATTTCAAGATTGTTTTATTCATTATTTTATTCATTATTTCTTTCTGTTTAATTTGAATTATATTGGAATTGATAAATTAAATTATTCAATTGTTATTTCAATAAAATCAATTTAATGTTTTAAAAAGTAATAAATTGAATTTAATTAAAATTATTTGTTTTAAACTTATTTATCTTTTACTAAAACAAAATATAATCGCTCCTATTGCTCCTACTGTTATTATTATTGCTCCTATTGCAATTACTGTTTTTAATGGGTTGCTTGATTGTTTTTCATTGCTCATAACTTTGACTATTTCCCATTCACCATATTTAATTTCACCATTATTTCCAATTCCTATCTCTCTTCTCATCCATTTGAATTGTGTTTTGATATATTTACCAGTATTTCCCATTGATTCTGTTTCTTCTTTTACTTCTATAACTGGTGCTTTTTCTAGATTACTTGTATCAATATTAATAGGAGTTATTCTTCTTCCCCATTTGATTAATCTTTCTATTTCTTCTTCTGATCTGATATTATCACGTTCTTCATCTGGTTGTGAATCTACATAATACATTGGTATATCAATATTCTCTTCTGCTCCTGTAAATATTTCAGTAAGTCTCAGTAATTCTGGAAGAAATTCATTTCTTTTAATTTCTTTTTGGTTTGTTAATTGCCTATCTGATATAGAATAATAACATTTATTCCATACAATACAGATATGTTTCAAAAAGTCATGTGATGGAAAGATTTTAGACATTATTTGAATCATTATTTTAATGTTATTGGAAATTCTATTTGTATTATAGTTTAGAACAATAACAATTCCATTTATTCCTCCTTGTTCTTTAACAATATCAACTATACCATTCAAAAAATTTTCATTAAATTCTTTTGATTCTTGAAGACTTGGTGTGTCAATAACAATTAAATCTTTTCTATCTCCTTTTCCATTTTCTCCAACAACATCTCTTGTTTCTGAAATTGTACTATCACTTACTGTAAAAACATCATTCTTTAAAATGAAATTACCAAGTGAACTTTTACCAGTACCTGTTTCTCCAATTAAAAGGAATTTTGTTTGTTTTGGTTTATCTTCTGGAACACTCATTGTTTATTTTGTAGTTTCCAACGATTTATTTAAATACTGTGATTAGGTTATTTCACAAAATATTTGTTTGTAAATGATGTTTGTTGTTTATTTGATGTAAAAATAAATCTATCGTATTTAAAATGATAAAACAAACAGGCAACGAAAAAAAGCAAATAATTGAAAAAGAAGAGAATGAATGATATAAAAGAATAAAAAGAAAGTAAGAAGTAGAATATGATGAAGAAAGAATAAAAGTAGAAAGGAGAGAATATAAAAAGAAAGAAGATAAAGTGTAATAAAACAAAAGAGATGATAAAAGAAGAATAGAAAGAAAAAAATAAAGGATGCAAATTTTATTTCAACAAATAAAAAAAGCGCAAAATTTAATGATGCAAAATTTAATGATGCAAAATATTTAGCAACATATTTTATTGATGCAAAATATTTTGAAATAAAAATAATTCATCATTTGATATTATTATATTTGATAATAAATTATATTATATATTAAATACATCATATTTCTTTATTATTGATCTTTCTTTTCTTTTTATTATTTCATATATTAAATTATTATTCATTCATTTATTATTTATATTTCATTTATTAAATAAAATGAAAATGAAATTGTAAAATATCAATCAATTAAATATTCATGAATAATAATTTATTAATATTTAATAATTGAAATAACAAATAATAATGTAACAATAATGATATATTCAATATATTCTTTATTTGATTTGTTCAATATTAGATTATTCTATTTCATTATCATTTCATTGTCTTCATTATTTTATTTCATTATTTCATATTCATTTATTATTTTTTAAAATCAAATAAACAATAATATTGATATTCATTCATCATATTCATTTAATATAATAAATATACACAACATTTCAGAATAAAGAATTAGTAATTAAGAATGAAAATATTGAATTATTTTATAATTTATTCAACATAAATTCAATAAAACATATATTTTGATAATACACAAATGAAATAATAAAGAAATATACAATACTCAAGAATTAATAAAAAAGAAATAAAAAGAATAAATGAATATAAAATTGATAAATAATAGAAGAAAGAAATAGAAAAACAACGAAAAACAAATAATATAAAAAGAATAAAAATATATAAAAGAATAAAAAGAAAGTAGAAGAAGAATATAAAAATAATAAAACACAAAGATGTAATAAAAGAAGAAAAGAAGAAATAAAATTTTATTTTTAATGTAAAAATTAGAAATATTCAATAAAAGTGTCTAATTTAATGATGTAAAATAAGTAATATTATTTTATTAATGAAAAATATTTTACTCTGTTTTATGTTTATTATTTATATGTATAATTTCATCATGATGTTTATTATATATTCAATCATATGTGTTATGTTATTATAACATATAATAAGTAATAAAATATAAATGAAAATGATATGAATATATAACATAGATAGAATATAAAACAAAAGAATAATAAGAATAAATGATAAATAAATATAGAAATGATAATCAATGATATAATAATAAAATCAAAATATAAAAGATAAATTTAATATTAATATAAAACAAAAGAGAATAAATATAAAATGAAAATAGATATAAATGATAATAATATAAAGATGAATAAGATGAATAAACAAATACATCTAATACAACTAAATATAAAAGAATAACAATAAGAAAATCTAAAGAATATAAACATAAAAATAATATAAGAATAATATAATAATATATAGATAATAAGAAGATGATAGATAAATAATATAAACAGAGAAATAAATATATAAAAATACGATAGATAAATAACATATAAATAAAAGAATACAAATAATACAAATAATTTAATATGAATAATCAAATCATTCATTTCATTAATATTTCATACAACATGAATAGAAATGAATATAAAATATAAACATAAATATATACAGATTGTATATTTATCATATTTTTTATTTATTTTTATTTTAGGAGCAAAATATAATAAATGGAATGTTCTATTGATGCAAATTATTTTGCATCTTTTTTCTTTTTTTGTAAATTATTTAGATGCATTTTTCTTGTTAATTTTCGTACCCTCTTTTATTTATTCTTCATTTCAATCGTTATAGACTTTATTGTTTAGTGTTTATCTTTCGTAATTCATTTTACATTTTTATGCTCTGTTTCAAATTCATCTGTTTTCAATGTATTTTCATTAAACTTTATTATGGCTGTTATGTGTAAGATGAATAAATTTTCTTTTATTAGTCATGATTTATTTGAATAATGACTATGAACATAGTTTTTGATTAATTAAATCATTTCCAATTCTTTCTTTTTATGAATAATTAAATTCTCTAAGTATTATTCATTCTTTCCTAAAAATATTACTTTTTATTCTATTCTTTGTTTTGATGTTGTATCATTCAATCCCCATTCTTAATTGTCATTTTCAATTAATCAATATTGAATCATTTAATTTCAATTGAATTATTATGATTCGATTTTGCGTGAAACATTCTGGATATTCTTTTCCACAAAGTGCATTTCTTATTCCTTCATATGAAAATGGAAAATGATAATAATATGAATATTTTTTATCATTTTCTTTTCAAAAAATAATATCATCTCATTCCAAGTGCAAACAAACAATCACTTGATTGATTATATAAATAAAACGCATGTTGTTGCTGTTTAATATCAAATTTCTTCACTCTTTTCATTATTCCATTTGAATTTAATGAAAATACAAATTGTTTTGAATCATATATATCATCGTCAACTTTATCAATTTTCTCATTAACATATCCTCCAAATTTATTTCCATTTTCATAATCAATAATAATTATTATATGTTCTTTATTCATTAATTTTTTACAAAATACTGATGTATTTTCATTCCAATCATCAGTGTTTGAATCAATTATTAGTTATTCTTTTTTCTGTCAGTTCTTCTTTTTGTTTAATTTACACTACTTCCACTTTAATTTAGTTAAATGTTTCTAGTTTCAAAATATGATTGTTTAAATAGTTAAATGCATTTTATTAACACAATAAGTCATGTATTATTTTTCACTTTGACAAATAGAGTTGATTTTTATTTTTACTATGACAATAAGTATATAATAATATTAATATTTATATATTGTTAGATAATAAATGAGACAATAAAATCAGAATATATTGAAAATGAAATGAATAAATATACAATATATATAGCATTCAATTGTTAAAATGATTGATAACTAATATGTTAATATATTATAACATAGTATTAGAATAACATTTTTACTCATAACATAAAATTTTCACTATACTTCGTTATATATAACACAACATAAAAAAAACGAAAAAGACAAATTACGAAAATATCTCAAAAACTCAAACATAAAGAGAGAAAAAAAATAAAAAATACAGTAGAACAAATGAAAAGAAACAAGATTTAAAGGAAGAATGAACTGAAAATAACAATAAATGTCAGCTAATCTATCATTCCAATTTCAATATTCAAAAACAAGTAGAGGAAAATGTAAGTCATGTGGTGATGTTATTAGCCAAGGAGAAATAAAAGTAGGTAGAGAAACTAAATCAAGATTCCATGATGGAATAGAAGTACAATGGAATCATCTTGAATGTATAGAAAATAAATATAATTTTAAAAGTACTCCATTATCAACAATGAAAGGTTGGGAAAAACTTAGATGGGAAGATATCCTTCATATTAAAACAATCGTTGAAGATGATGTTCCAATTGCAACAGAAAAAATAGAAAAAATTAAAAAAATTAATGAAAGATTTTGGAAAGCAAAAGATAAATTAAGTGAAGTACAACCAAAATTATTGAGAGAATTATTATCAGAAAATGGAATTGTTTATGGAGAAAAAATTGATAATGAAATATTATATGATGCAGCAGCTGATATGTTAGAATTTGGAGTAATGGAAGAATGTCCACAATGTCATGAAAAAAAGTTAGAGAACCATATTATTAATATTGTTTGTCGTGGTAATATGACTGAATTTGTTAAATGTGACTTCAAAACAACTGACATTGATTCAATTAAAAGATATAAGGCAAATATAAGTGAAAAAGTTTCGGGATTAGATAAGAAAAAAATCTTATCTTCTTGGGATTTTCCAGATGATTATCCGACAGAATCATTTTGTGGGTCTAATACGAATGGAAATATAAAAGAAGAAAATAATCTTGAAACAGACAATGAATCAGAAAGTGAAGTACCACCAAAAAAAGAATTATATGGAATGTATATTCTTGTTAAAGGAACACCTAAAAACCTTGGAAGTAGTATTGCAGAATGGCAAAAATTAATTATTGATTATGGTGGGAATGTTGTTAAAAATGTAGCAGATGCAACTGTTTGTTTAAGTACTAATGAAGATATGAAAAATGGGAAAGCAACAGGAATTAGAGATGCAAAAGAAACATTAACATGTTTAACATTAGAATGGATCGATGAATTAACAGATAGAAAAGGAGAATTTATGAAATTAAGAAGTAAAGAAGGAGCAGAAAAATTTTTATGTGAAGGATGTGAATGGAAAACAGAAATAGTTAAAAAGAAATATCATGCGAAAGAAGGAATTATAAAAGAAACATTTAAACCAACAGCAGATTCAGAAATTATGAGATACAGTCCAAATAATACTCTTGGAAATGGAACAGAAATTTATGTTGAAGATGACCCTGTATGTGGATGGACAGCATATAATGTAGTATTAAGTAAAACTGATTTAGATACAGGAGCTAATTCAGTGTATAGAATGCAAATAGTTAAAAAAGGAAAACAATATCAAATGATGTTTGAATGGGGAAGAATTGGAGGAACATTACATAATACATTTAGAAATGGAAGTCTTAGTAATATTTTATCAGAATGGATAAAAAAATTTAAAGAATGTACAGGAAATGAATGGGAAAATAGACTTCAATTTAAAAAAGTTGGAGGAAAATACTTTATGCAAGCACTTGATACAGGAAAAGATGAAGCAGAAAGAAAAAAATTAATAAATGAAGAAACAAAAAAGAAGATGGAAGAAAAGAGACAACAATTAAAAGAGAAAGCAAAAGAGAATTATTTAGACCCAAGAGTATCTGATTTAATTAAAATGATATTTGATACGGATATGATGAAAAATACACTTCAAAATGCAGGATTAAATCTTAGTAATATGCCACTTGGAAAAATTAAAATTGAACAAATGAAAGAAGCTATGAGAGTATTATCCAAATTATCAGACATATTAAGTAAAGATAGTGAAATGACAGAAAAACAAAAAGAAGTTCAAATTAAAGATTTAACAGCAAAATACTATACATTTGTTCCACATGTGATTAATGGAAATATTATTCCAATGATTGATAATGATGAAAAAATAAATAAAGAATTAAAATTAGTAGAAACTATGTGTGATGTTGGAGAAGCAATGAAATTAATTGAAGAAGATGAAGGAATGGATTTAGATGAAATGACTCAAATTTATTCACACTATAAAAGTTTAAATACTAAAATTACTGCTTTAGACAAAGATTCTGAAAGATATAAATTACTTGAAGAATATTTCACTAATAACCAAGAAACTAATTCATGGAGAAAAACAACTAAATTGGTTGATATTTTTGAAATAGAAAGAGAAGGAGAAAGGGCTAGGTATCAACCTCATGCAGATGATCCAAATAGACAATTATTATATCATGGAAGTAGATTAACAAATTTTGTTGGTATTTTATCTACTGGATTAAGAATTGCACCACCAGAAGCACCTTGTAATGGATATAGATATGGTAAAGGTCTTTATTTTGCAAATTGTGCAAGTAAGTCAGTAAGTTATTGTACATACAATGGAGAGAATAGAGGTTGTATTTTATTCTGTGAAGTTGCACTTGGTAAACAATGGGAAACTCCTAAAGATAAATACATGGAAAAACCTCAACCAGGAACAGATTCTACTTATGCTCTTGGTATGGTTGAACCAGATCCAAAAGATACTATTACTTTAGAAGATGGTGTTAAAGTTGCTAAAGGTAAAATTATTTCTACTGAATTAAAAACATGGAACAGTCATTCTGAATTGGTTGTGTATGATGTTGCACGAGTGAATATACGATATTTAGCAATTTTCCAGTTATAATAAAAAATTACTAAAATTTAGTTTTTCTTATAAGTTATTTTTATATTGAGTCAAATAATATTTTTTTATTGTTTTTTCTTCTTTTCTTTGTTTTATGTTCAATTTTATTAAAGTTCATGCAATTTTCTATGGTATTTAATATGTTTTATTGAAAAAATTGATATTCTTATTTAACTCTTTTTTTTTATTTAAGGATGTACTAACCAATTAATCAATTATCTTTTGTAACTATCAGAAATTTTCATCTTAATCTATTTACAATTAATCTACTTATTTTAAATCATTAAAATAACCTAACACAAAAACTATTATTAATTATTAGTATTGTTACTTATTCTTATTATTTTTTATATTAAAAGTATGCATCACTATATGATAAATTATACAAATTTCTTTGATTTATAAAGTTTCATATTAACCATATCTTAATAAAAGAAATATTTGAATATATTTGGTATATTTGATTCTAATTCTTATTGCAATTTGTACAAAAATAATGTCATATCTTTTCATAGTTAAATATATTTTTGATAGCTATTATGTTTTTTAGCAATACTTAATATTCAGAATATCACTTAATTGGAGTATTAGACTAACAGAGAAACAATAAAAAAATAATATGAATAATTAAATAAAAAATAATGAACATTTTAAACGAATAACTGACAGTTCAAGTCTATTCAAAAGAACATAACTGCGATTTGTAATTACCAAACAAATCATAAACTTGATTCTGACGTTCTAAAATATCTCTAACTAAATCACTTCGTTTAGTATCACAATTTTTTAAATACTTACTATACAATTTACTAAAAACTTTAACAGAATAACTTAATTGTCTTTGAAGATCATCATAACAACTATAAAGTTCTTGACTAATATTTTGTTTTAAATTTTTATGATGTAAAATATGAAATGGTGGATTAGAAATTTCTTCTTTCTTTTCTGTAGTTTCATTATCTTTCAATCTATAATACCCTCTGTCATGACAAAAGTCTTTTCCACATTCAATTAATGGACAATGATTAAGTGCATCAAGAATAGCTTTTTTCCATTGAGCTGTTTGAACTATACTTATTAATCTCTTTCTTTTCATTTCAGTTTCTTTTCTCTTATTATTTTTTGTATCTGAAATGATAATTATTAACAAGAGATTTATTTAAAAACTATCTGTTATTAAATTTAACAAACATATCTTTAACTTCACTAACATAACCCAATGACTTTGAATAAATTCATTAATGTCTGTCTTTATTGAATAACATTCCATTTCAGGATGAAGCATTTTAAGTGAACGTAATATCAACACACACAACTTAGTTGTTTTGATTTTTGGATTAGTTATTTCAAACATTTTACTCTTTTGACATAAATAACAATAACATGGCTGTTGTGTTGTCTTCTTTTGCATAAGAAATAAATTCTAAGTTATTTTAAACTTCCCAATTCTGTGTTTCATGTTTCGAACTTTTTTCCATTTAGGACGTTCATCTTCTTTTTAGTTTTGTCTTAATTAAATTCTGTTATCAATAACATATTTCTTTGTTGTTATTCTAAAACTATATTTAAACCATTTTTAAATTATTCATTATAGTTATTAAATAATAATAAAATAACATCATTATGAATATTCCTTTTTCTATAAATTGTCTTTGGAGAATATTCAAATTTCAAAATCTGTTTTTCTTATAAATTAATACTTCAATTTTATTTTTGTTTTTAATTAATTATTCTTTTTCTCTATTGCGGGAAAGAAAAAATGTTTGTAATTGAATTAACTAATCATTGAGGTTAATATCATAAAGAAAAGAAAAAAAAATACTTGTTCAAGGTAACTAAGAAATAAGAATCTCTGAATTTCAATATTTTACTTCATTACTACAAAAAAAAGAGATAGGAAATAAAGTCTTATGACAAAAATGAGACGATAAAAAGAAACAAATAAAACTAACAAAAGAATGAGTTATTGCTTTTCTTCATCTTCAAGAGGGAATGGTTCTTGACTTTTCACAACGTCTTCAATCTTCAAATCATCAGAATGTTCATCTGACAATCTTTTAAATTTAGAGCAATAAGACAAAAGAGCGAAGAAAATACCAATTAAAGAACCTGCAATAATATCACTAAAATTATGATGATAATCACGGGTTCTACTTATTGCAACAGTACCAGCAATAATAAATGGTAAAAGGACAATTAACATTCTCCAAGATTCATGACTTGCAATACTAAAAGCATGAATTTGACCAGCAATAAGAAGTGCTAAGAAAGTCATTCCATTAAAAATGGCTGATGAATGTCCAGAAGGAAAACTCATATAAGCGTCATTAATTTCATTTGGCTTAGCATCAATCCTTGCATAAAAATGAGGACGAGGACGACCAGCAAAAATTTTGCCCATGTTTGTTACACCAAGACACATAGAAGCAGAAAGACCTAATGAAAGTAATGAAAATAAAAGAAATAGTGATGACTTTTTCTTTATGGTTATTAAAAGAATAGTTAAAACAGGTGGAATATATCCAATAATAATGCATGCCCATGTCGGTACTGAAGAACTATATAGTGGATATAAAACATTCACATTTTCTCGGTCTTTTGGAATATCCATATGGTGTGGAGTAACAAAAACACAAACAATAGATATTATAACAAAAATAACAATAACTACAATATCATAAATAACATTCAACAAAACACTTTTATGAAGTAAAGGGAGATATAATTGTTGAAGGATATCCATTTTAAAAGCTACCACAAATTTGAAATTATAAGATTTTGCATATTTTCAAGATTTAGAGATTGCAAATAAAACAAAAAACTAACTAGAAGCTGAAAAAAGTCAAAGAAATCAATCTTCTAATCAATCTACTATTGATAATACACCAAGATGAATTAATGAATCAACTGTTGAATTTCTTAACACACATTGGACTTCACTATTATCCAATTTTAATAATCCATTTGTTGTATAAATGCTTGGATTTTGTGGCAAATCATCCATTCCTTTAGTAACATTTGCCCGAACATTAATATAATTGTTAATAGGTGGATAAAGGGTATCACTTACAACATCAACTTCACTATTAACACCATATTCACCAACAATTTTACAATATTGCTTAAAGTATTGAATTTCATCATTAGTCATTGACGCACGAATATTTACTGGAAGTGCTGTTCCAATTTCCCATCGAATATTTTCAATACGTTTTAATCGTTCACTCCTATTAATAAATAAGACTATTCAAAATAAAGAATACCAAATTAACAAACAAATAAATTTCATACAAATCTTTTAATCGTTGACGAAGTGCATTAGCATACACCATTCGTGGATTCAATATTTGTGATTCTTTAAATCCAGTTAGTTCTTCTTTTATTTGTTCAATTAATTCTTTGTTTGGTGGAGGTAAAGTATTTCCACTACGGTCTAATTCTTTAATAGCTTCAACAAGTTTTTCATGAATGATTGATGCCATTAATCCCCCCTATTTTGTAGTATATTCTGAGATCTTCTTCAACCATCTATTTCATTTACAGAAAAGATCTTATGATCTCATAAATTCCTGTTTTAAAATGAGTGAACCACAAACAGAAAAAATTGGATGTATTCCTGAAGCCACTATTGCTGGTATTCCTGTTGACAAAAGCCCTATTGATGATTCAAATAATGTTGAACTTCCACCACCAGGAACATCAGTTGTTGCTTTCATTTCAAAGTTATATGAATTAGTCAATAATCCAGAAACTCAAAACTTTGTTTGTTTATTTTTTTTTTATTAGAAATAGTGTGTTACATGTAATTATTATTATTATATTCGATTCGTTTAACTAATTTTACGTTAAAATGAGTCGGTGTTATGTCAATTTTTTTATGAAAAGACAAATAAATAACTTGCAATTTCTTTTAAAAAAATAAATGATTTATGAATAGATTTGTTGGAGTAATGAATTTAATAAAAAAGCTATTATGATTCCTGATCCTGTTGAGTTCTCAAAACAGATATTACCTAAATTTTTCAAACATTCTAATATTTGTTCGTTTGTTAGACAACTTAATATATATGGATTTAGAAAGGTTTGTTTTTCTATATTTTTAATTATTATTAATATTTTATGGACCATTTTTGGTCTATTAGTTTTCATTTTTATTTGACTCAAAATCTTCTCTTAGTACATACACTAAAAAGTTTTTATTCCATTGTTTATTTATTTTGTAATTAATTTATAGTTAGAAACTCAAACTGGATTTTGTTTTCGACATGAAAGTTTCATTGCTGGTCATCCTGAATTACTTCCTAATATCCAACGAAAAAAACCAACTCCTCATAGAAAAAAACAACCTGGTGATGATACTACTTCATTGTATCAATATTTACTCACACAACTCATGCAATTGCAAAAACAAAACGTAGAAACACAAACCCAAATAAATACACTAAAGGAAATGCTTTATCAATTAAAAATGAGAGAAGATACCTTGGAAATGAAATTATATCGTCTTTCTGAAACAGTTATGCCAAGCTTAAATTATGGTTCAATGGCATTCAATCCTAGTCTTCTTCCTCAAATGGTAAATCAACAAAATACATCTTCTACTACAATGTCAAATGGAAATGACGCAGCAATGTCAAATTTTAGTTCATTGATTAATTTTTCTACTCAAAACGCAGTGCAACAACCCTCAAATCAACAAACAGTACATTCACAAACATCACCTCAAAACAATGGTCTTCAAACACCAAATCAAACCCAACAATTAGCTGCTGCTTTGTCTCAATGGAACCAACAAAAAAATTCAGAAGACCAACCACAACCTTCATCAAATCAACAAGGAGACTCGAATGGGTTTGTCCAATGGGATTTTCAATCCCAAATTCCATGGAAGTTTTAAGGGTGTATTTCTTTATTTATTGACTTTAAGAGTGGTTGTGTCTTTGTTTTATTTTTATTTTTTCCTTCAGAATTATTTAGAAAATTATTTACTCAATTAAAAGAATATTATTTCTTGTTGATTCGTCTTTTTTCTATAATTAAATATGATTCGTATTTTTAATGATTTTAGAGATGTGAAGTTGATATAGTAGAGACAAAATATACAAACATTAAAGTGAATATAAACCATTATTTCAGTATCACAATTTTTATATGATTACGATGAAGTAAATTAATAAGAAATATAATAAATAATAATAGAAAGAATGAAATAAAATAATATGAAAGAATAATAAGAAAATAAAAAAGATATAAAATGAAGATAATAATAAATGAAATTATAAATAATATAATGATAATAATAATGATATATTCAATCATAAAATAAGAAAGAAATGATAATTCAATGAGATTAGTTGAGCTGTTGAAATTTAAATAAGAAGATAAAAAAAAGAATGAAAATGAAAGAAGAATGAAAAGATATTAAAACAAATAAAACAAAAGAAGAATGATTTATTCATAAAATATGTTGAAATTCTATTTATTATTTAATTTATTTAATTTATTTTAATTTATTTTAATTTATTTTAATTTATTTTAATTTATTTTAATTTATTTTAATTTATTTTAATGTTGTATATTGTGATTAATATCATTTGATGAATAATTGTGTGTTTTATTAATATTTATTTGAATATGATTTATTTCATTCTTATCAGTATAGTATATCTGTTGTCAGTATATTTCATCTCATTTGATTTATCATTTTCTATTTCATGCTTCTTCTTATCTTTCAATTTTGCTCATTAAAAAATATAAATTATTTGTTTGTATTTGAGTTTAAGGAGTGTTTCCACTTTCTTATACTCTCACATTCACTGTGTGGCATTAAAACATTGTGATTATTCTTGGGTTTCTCTTTGAGTGTTATTGAACTTATCATTTCTTCTTTCATTCATTCAAATTACAATGAAATGACACAAAATTATCTTATTATTCATTATTTTGTGTTGCATATCAGAATTTTGATGATATTAATAATATCATTGACTCAAAATAAGATGAAAAACAAGAAATGTGAATTTGTTGTTTGTTCATTGAAAAGACATTTGTTTCAATTTCATGAAATACAAATTCATTTGAATGTGCTTGTCATTATCATTCATTGTTATTGATTTTACTCATTCTTTTGTCACTAAAATGTACATCATCATTTGATTCATTTAATCCTCGATTTCTCTACTTTCTCTATGATGTAATTGAAATGTAATTTTATAGAACTATTTGTGAGTGAAATACATTGTTTGTCACTCTATTCTGGTTCAATGAGAGAAATGAAATGAGGTGATAAAATAAATGATAGATTGTGTATTGTTGATGGTTATGTTCATGGGTGATAGATTTTGTTTTGAGGAGGGTGTGTTTAATTATTGGCATGACACTCACATCAACAATCTGATTTGTTGAGATTATTTCTTTGATTGATGAAATGTGAAGATTAAAAAAAGAAAGAAATGTGAAGATTGAAAAGAAAAAGAAAAAAAGAAGAACTTAAAAAATGGAATGATAAATTGAATTAATGTCTGGAAAGAAATTACCATATATTGAATTTAAGAATTATCAAGTTTATCAAGAAAGCATACTTATTGGAATTATTGCACTTTATGGAACAATTAATATTAGTATTCGTGGGAAAAAAACAGATAAAGAAATATTACCATTTCTTCTTATTAATAAAATTCAAATATATGGAGAAGATCCTATTTATTGTAATGATTTAATTACAACTAAATGTGAAGACATCAAATTCTATGAAATAAAACATGGACTTAATATCAAAACAGCTTTAAGACGTTTTCATAAAAATAAAATTATAGAATCACTTCATTTTTTAATGGATATTTTATTTCTTTTAGGTATCAATTTTAATACGTATATCACAAATGGTAAAAATGGTGCTATTCGTGCTGAAACTATCCGTTTTATTCATTTACAAAATGGTAGACTTTTATCATCTGATGACATTAAACATATTGGTAATCTTATTTACCACTCTATCATTGACAACTTAAAATTCCATCAATCCGTCTCTCTTAATCCTACTCATCCTCTTCTTTCTCATCTCTTTGACCATCCTTCTTCTACTTCTTCTATCTCTCTTTCTTCTTCTTGTCTTCCTTTATCCATTCCTTCTCTCTCTACTCACTCTTTCTCTTCTGTTTAATCTTTCTTCTTTTTCATTTTTCTTCTTCTCTTTGTTTTTTTTAATCTAATTCTTATTATCTTTATTTTAAAATTTGTTTTTTTGTTTTTTTTTTCACAAAACATGTTTAAGGAATTTAAAACAGGAATAAAACCGAGATATTTTACGGTTAATATTAAATTTTTCATCTAGAAAGATCTATTTAATTACATATGATTATTGTGTTATTGAGTTTAATTAATTTAGTGTTTGGTCAAGTGACAGGTTGTATGACAAGATGGTATACAGCCATTAGTGATAATATTGGAAGTTCGAATGGAATGGTAGCAAGTCAAGTAATAAGAAATCCAGATTGCTTTAATCAAATAAATGAATATAAAAGACTTGTTGCAGGACATTTAACAAATATGGAATGTTATATTTATGAAAAGCACCTAACTAAACGAATTTCTGATTATAATTCTAGTAGATGTGGTCAATGTTTGGAAATTACAGGACCTACTCAAAGACCATTTGTATGTATGATAGCAGGAACATTTAAAACAAAACCAAACCACAATCTAACAGAATCTGATTTAGAAAGAATTGTATTTGTAAATGATGATAATTATAATTATATTGCAACCATTGTACATGCATCTGCGAACCATGCAACTCAAGTAACTGTAAGAGCTATTTCTTGTCCATTTCAGTACAATCCATCACTTGTAATAATTGGTGAAGATTTATTAAGAAAAGAAATGGTAAAAGTTCAAGTGATTAATTCTAATACTATTCATAAGTATCTCATCTATGAAAATAAACAATATAGAATGAATAATGAAGATGGAACTTATTCCCTTCCATTATTCACTAATAAAACAATAAAATTAGTTTCATGGAATGACCGACAGATTGTTTTTAAGAACGTTAGTACAATAAATAATTCTTCATATTTTACTGGTGAGACACAATTTACTGAATTGGATAGGTCAAATCGTTGTAAATTTATACCACAAAATCAAACATTTGGTCCAATAGTTTCAGCAATGGATAATTCCCCAATTAATAGATATTTTACATGGACTCCAACACTTCTTTATTCAAATGAAACAAAAAAAGTATTTAACATATTTGGAACCAATCAATTAGTATTTGATAATAATTTAAAAAACGCATTATTTACTTTTACCTATCCTTCTGTTATGAAACTTACAGAAATATTTAAAGTATTTGTTCTTTATTTTAAATTTAATTCAAAGGAAAACATATTAATTAATTCATTTAAACTTATAATTGAAGATTTTAATGATAAACTTGGTATTACTCAACAAACTATTTGTTCATTAGATCAAATGAAAATAACAACACTTGAAAATGAAATGAAAATTGAACTTTCTTTAAATTCACAACAGTGTGAAGGATTTGTAAGTGGTATTCAAATGAACATAACAACAGGACCAACAACCAACTTAATTTTAAAAAAAGCTCAATTCAGTTATCAAGACACTTATAATGAAGTGAATCAATGTGGGTTTGAAACGTTGTATTGTAATACAATGGAATGTACTCCTGAAGAAAAGTTTAGAAAAGGATGTGAACCAAATTGTGGGTCATGTGTTGTTGGGTATCAATGCAATTCTCTAGGAAAATGTGTGAAAAAACAACCAAAAAATACAAGAAATAGTGGGAATATTATACCAATCACTATGTCTTTATTTATTGTAATAGCCTTTGTATTCTAATTGAATTGAGGTGTGTCATTTATTTTAATTCATCCATAGAAGAAGTATAAAAATGGATACAACACATATAATTCCAAGAACAAACCATCTTGGAATAGTAAATAATTGTCTTTCTTGTTCAACTGTCATAGATGGATTTGAGTCAAGGTTGAATAAATTTAAAAAAGTAGTGAAAAGTGTTTCTTCACTTGTCTCATAATGTTGAGCTGGTCGTTGGTTAATATTATCTTGATCTTCATTCGAATTATTCACTTTATTATTAATTGGGGCATTAGTACCATCTTCATTAAATATTGAAACTAATGAATCTAACGTTATTGGATTACCACAAAAGGGACAATATCCAGGTACTTTATCTTTAATACATTTCCAACAAAAGGTATGACCACATTGTGTGATAATAGGTTGTTTAGGTTCATTATAACATATTAAACATTGTAACTCAGACATACTGTTATAAATTTTTTTTAGTTCTTATTTAACAATTCATAAAATACTATAAAATATAAAATTTATTCCCTTAAAAGAAAATATAAAACCATATTCATTTTATTAAGAAAGAAGAGTAATTAATTTACTTTTAGTACTATCAAAAAGAGGTGACTAATTTTTTATTTCAATAACCAAATTATTCTATGATAATGTGTTATGTAGTAAACAATATTATTTCTATTCAAAACTATAAAAATTGATTAATAAAAAACTTCTCAAGACTATAAATTATTGTTATGGAGGAAATAATTAGTTAAAACAACTTTAATGTTAGAAAGTATTTATTAAATGATAATACAATAAATATCTTTAGATAAAAAAAAAAGAACCATTAAAATATGTTTGTTTATTAACTTAATGATATTAAAAAGAAAAATCTTTTCATTCATTAAATTTTTGATACTTTTAAAATAATTATAAAAAAAAATGAGCAGTAATATTAAATTAAAGTATTATTTCTTGATCGTTAGATGAATCATGAGAAGAATTGCTTTTACTTTGTTCAGTATTGATAAAAACAACAGAATTTCTTTTATCAAATGAGTTTTGAACACTTGATTGATTTTGAGATGGAGATACATTTAAGTGCATTTGTTTTATTATTCCATCAATTAAATGAAGAACTTCATCAAAATGAGGTCGGTCTTTTGGGTTATGTTTCCATGATTGTTCAATAATAGTTTTAATCAAACAATCTTGTGGTAGTTCTATTCGTTTACCACTTCCAACAAATTTTAAAATTGATTCTGAATCTGGGAATTTCTCTGGATCATATGGATCTCTACCTAACCAAATTTCAGTACAACAAATAGCAAATGAAAAAACATCTGATTTTAATGTCATATCTTGTTCTCCAGTATTTAGTTCTGGTGCCATATACATTGGAGTACCAATATTTTGAATTCCTGTTTTACCTAATGATTCAATAAATGAACGTGAAGTTCCAAAATCGGTGACTTTACATACAACAGGATCAAAAGGATTTTTTGAATAGACTAAAACATTGTCAGTTTTTAAATCACGATGAGTGATATCGTTTTGATGAAGATAATCCATACCAGATGCAATGTCATGACAAAATCTTAATTTTAATTCAACAGACATTGAATTAGTCTTAATATATCTTCTTAATGAACCTAATGGACAAAATTCAGTTACTAATGCTAAAGTGTCTGAACTTGTTACACTTCCAATGAAATTAATAATATATGGACATCGAATCTTTTCTAATAATTCAACTTCTTGAAGGAAATTAGGTAATAAATCATTTAAATCAAATAAATCAGTTTTCATAACTTTAACTGCAACATCAACTCCTCTCCATTCTGCTCTATAAACAATACCAAATGTACCTGAACCAATAGGAGGATGATGTAAATGAATTTCTTCATAATCTAATTTAGTAGATAAAGTAGATTCTGCTTGAAGAGGAAGATACAAATGGAATTTACGTATTCTGTCAGTACGATGTTTTTTTGATGATTTAGAAGATTGTTGAGATTGTTCATGTGAAGAATTTTTATCAGACCCTCCTGATTTATTACTTATGTTTGATAAAGAAGAGAAAGACCTTCTTGGTTCTCCTGGTTGTTGAGAATTTTCAGAGACATGAGATGAATTTTGAGAGAGTTGATCTAACATTTCTGGATTTTCCTTTTTAATATTCTTTAAAATTGAATTTAATTGACCAAATCTAATAGTAACTGGAACACGTTCATTAATAACAGTTGTACATTTTAAACAGACCATTGCTTGAATATCAACACTTTGATATTGCCTTAATGATCCAGTAACAGGTTTAAATGTTATATCATATTTAAGGTATTCTCCTGCATGGAATGTATAATGAAGAACTTCTTTCCAATTATTTGTAATAGTAAAAGTATATGAATATACTTCTCCTACTTCAACTCTTTCTTCTTGGAAATCAATTGAAGGTGGATCAATTGTAAAATATGGATTTGCTGACTTAACATCAATAAATTGTGAGTTTTCTTTATTAAATGGAATAATTGTTGTTTCAAAGAAAGGTAAAGCTCCTTCCATTTCTTTTAATTCCTTTTTAATATTAGAAGTAACTTTCCAATGAACAATACCACTAATACATCCAATCAATATTAAAAATATCCAATAAGGTATTAAAATTCTACCAATAAAATCTGCTATTACAAGTCCATAACTTTCATCTTTACAATTCTTTGAATTATAGCTATACCAATTTTCTTGACATTCACATTCATAACATCCATCTCCACTATCACACTCTTCTTCTTCTTCTAATTTTCCATTTCCACATTTAGTTGATAAACAATATTCACGTGCTTTTTCATATTTAATATATCCTTCTTGGCAGAAACAATGGTCACATCCTTTTCCTCCATCACATTCTTCATTTTGATCTATAACTCCATTATTACATGTTGGTGGAGAGCATTTAGTTGTTCCATTGATAGTGATTGGTATAAAACCAAAATAACATTTACAAGTTGTTGCACAATGACTATCTTCTTGAGCAGATAAATCACATTCTTCACTATCATCAATTTTACCATTCCCACATAATGAACATCCACCATTATCTACATATCCATCTTCACAAATACAAACACCATTATTATTACAAAATCCATGTTCTCCACATCCAAATGGACAAACAGTTTTAAATGTAATATTAATAATTCCAATATTATTTTCATCTATTGAAACAAAAATAAAATAATTCTTTGTAGGTTCTAATTGAGCAACCATTCGAGCTAATTTAGAATTTTCACAATTTGAAGCAACATAACGAGAACATGTTGCTTTGTTTGATGAACATGAAAAATCTGTTAATGACTCATTTTGATTTACTTCAATAAGTTGAATAGAAACACTATAATTTAAAGAACTATTACAAGTATCTATCATAAGAACATCATCTGATCCTTTTAGTTTAAACCATTGTCCTCGTAAAATTTTTGATACACAAACAGAATTTGAATTAACTGAATATTCATAATTTAATTCAAAAGTATATTGTAATTGAAGTTCATTCCAATTTAGTTGTTTATAATAAGTACTACAAGGATGAGCAATAGATGTAAAAAGCATTTTAAACCAATTACTAATACGTTGACCATATGGTAAATGAATATGAAGATATCTTACTTCATCACTATTTACATAAACAACCATTCTAGGAGAATGGATATAAGCACTTATATCATTATTAGCATCAAGACAATAATTGTGATGTGAAACTGAATTTCCAGATGCACAATTCTTTTGTTCACTAATAGCAAAATCATTTCCAATAACTTTCTTTTGTTGCTCAGCAAATTCAATTTCTTCTGAGGTATAATGTTTATCTGTTTCTGCTACAATCCATCCACCTACTGTTGATCTTAAAGCAACCCATGCACCAAATACATAAGGTTTATCTTGAGAAACATAAGGAGTACATCTATTGATTTGCATAGGAAAATACATTCCAGGAGCATCCAAAGTTATTGTTTGATGTTCAGATGTCATCGTAACATTTCTATATGCACTTGGTGTACCTTGCATTTCAAACCATTCTTTACATCCCCAAATACGTTCTGTTAAATTACCACATTGTCCAATAGTATTATAAACATAATTTTCTTTACAATTTGAACAGTCTTCATTAAAACCTGATGATTCAGAACATGAAACACATACATCTGGTGCTATACATCCTCCAATACATGCACTTCCATACATACATTGCATAATACAATTTCCTTTTCCATTAGAAGTAAATCCATTATTACAATAACATTGATTATTACACCCATCACTTCCATCACACTCTTCACTAAATGAATCCCAAATACCATCACCACAAGTGCCAGTTTGTTTAAAATCATCTATTGATGAAGAAGGAATTACAAATGATGATGATAGAATAATAAGTAACGAGAGTAATATTAGAAGTATTATTCTCATAACTTCTTGTTTAAGTAATTAACAGATTATATCTCTGTTAAAATAAAATGATTAAAAACAAAAAGAAGGTTTTAGAAAGAAATAACATTTTTTTTATTTCAATGAATCTTTACAAAATATTTCTTTTTTAATAATAAAAAAGAATAATAAAATAAATACAATTAAAAAAATCCTATAGACAGAGCCAATAATAAGTTATTGACTCATTCTCTAATATAAGAACAGAAAATATTTCTAATTGTCGTATCATTAAGACTAATAATAGCATGATACTCTTCAGCAATTGTTTTATTCAAATAATCATTTATTAATTGTCCCTTTTTCATTAAATCATCAACATCTAAAATATATTCTCCATGTAAATAAACTCTTTGAACTCTATCAATTCTAAGACTTTTTTCAGTTTTTCTAGAAAGACGAGCATCAAAGAAATAACCCATTTCTAAACATAAATCATAAAGAATATTAATAACAAAAATCTTTTTATTCTTTTCAAATCTTCTAAAAGCAGTTTGTTTATTCATTCCTTTACGACATTCTTCTTCATATAATGGTCTACAAAAATGATCTGCTAATTTCATTACTTCAATTTCTTCATTATTAATTTTAATAGTTTTAACTTTAGGCATACAATGTCTAACAATTGTTTGTTTTCTTGGTTTTTTAATAATAAATTGACAAAATGGATTAAGAAGTCCAATAAGAAGAGCTTGTTGCATAGTTTCATAATTTTGAAGTTTTCTTTTATTAACAATATATTTTGGAGTTTCAGGTACTTGTTGTTCAATAGACATGAAGTAGATGTATATATTTTTTTAAATTAAATAGGTTTAAATAATTGTAGTAAATATTTTCTCTTTAGTATTAATTTTCTTTTTTACCCCCTATTTTTTAATACAACGACAGTATCTTTTTTTCAGTAATGCTGTTAGAAATCATTTTTCTTTTTTTTTTCTTTTTTTTTTCAAAAAAGGAGTTTGTTTCAACTCTCTCAAATATAAAACTTATTTTCTTCTTCTACTTTCTATTTTAACAATATTTATGTTAATCGTTAATTCTTTGTTTAACTATTTTTAATTAAGAAGAAATTAACTACCTGATAACTCTATAACTATTATTGTCTTTTTTACCAAGAATTTTTCCTGTTTTTCATCCTTGAAATTGAACTATCAAATGAATGTTAATATCTATATTTAGAATATTTATTTTAGTTAACAATATTTTAAGTATCATTTATTTACAATTCCTTTAATTTCATAAATAAATAAGATACATCAAGTCTTATAAATTAAAAAACCATTTTTGATTTGATACCTGTTATTCTTAATCAAAAGAAGAATTTAGAAAGATTACCAAGTAAAATGGTAATAGATTGAAGAACGAATATTTGAACTATTTTCAAACCAAAAAGATTAAAATACATTAGTTTATTGTTGTGACAATGTTTTCATTTAGGATTTACCATTTAAGGAAGTCTTATAATAGATCTAATAACTAACATGATATTATTTCACTTTGTGTGAAACATTTTTACTTTAGATAAAATAAATTATCATATTTAATTTCTATTCATTCTCTAACTAATCCATTTATGCTTTTTCTATTAAACATGTCAATTATTCTCAAGTTATTTCTTATTGATGCTAATCAATTTTATTAACACTTTACTTAGGATAAAGTTTGAATTATTATTTATTTTATTGTTACTTGCTTGTTGGAAGATATTTAATTATGATTTATACTTTGGAATATTGTTTTAAATAGAATGAATAAAAAAAATCATAAAATGTGCTTTATTCATTAGTAATTCATGTATTAAATCAACAATTATCTAAACAGCAAAAAAAAAGTTTTATTCATAAAAATAATCAAAATAGAAGAAAGTAGATGGTTTTTATCTGAAGTAGATATATAATTATTAACTACTCGATTTTAATATTAATTATAAAAATTAAAAAAATGAATTAAAATGCATAACATTAAATTCCATTAGTAGTTAAAATAAAAGATTTATCAAAAAAAAGCTAAAAGTATAAAATCAATGACAAAGTTTTTATAAATAATTTTTTTTAATAAATTGGATAACAGTTTTATCTCTTTTTTGTAATGTAAATTCTCTATGAGCAATATTTGTTTTTGAAAATAAATAGTCATTGATAAGTGTTCCTTGAAGACTTATTTCTTTTTCATCAGCAATTAATGTAGAATGATAATAAACTTCTTTAATAAAATCAATTTTAGATTTATTTCCTTTATTTCTCATTTTTGAAGTAAAAATAATAAATCCATATTCAAATAATATATCTATCAACATATCAAATAATATTACTGTTTTTTCATCTTCAAATCTTTTTGTAGCATTTTTCTTTGATAATCCTGATGCAATTACTTTATCATAATATTTATGGCATTCTTTATTTAAATACTCTTCAATTTCAAATTTTTCATTATTAAAATTTAATATTTTTATATGAAATAATTGTCTTGTAGTACTTGCTTTCTTACGGGGTCTCTCATATGTAATAGTACAAAATTGATTAACTAATCCAATAAGATATGACAATTGTATTGCCTTCTTATTTTTGATATATCGTGAATCTAAAGTATGTTTTCTTTTCTTTTCCATTGTTATCTTTTTCCTCGAAGACGTTGCTTCCATATTGTAAATTCAAGTTAATTAATTTTTTATGAAAGGTTTTCAAAAATAATTTGAATTTTTAATTTAATCTTTTGAATCTGTACTATAAATGAAACGAGTGATTAAAAATGGATGTAAGTCTGCTTGAACTAAAATAGAAGTTTTTTTTATCTAATTCCTTTTTCTATTATTAATATATTTATTATTCATCAACAATCCATGATAATTTTGAAAAGTTAATTTTTTGGAAAATTAGTTAAAAAAAAAAATAAAATAAAATAAATAAAAACAATAAAAAATAAAAGATTTTGTTATCAAATGGATATACCTTATTTAATGAATATTGCTTTATATTTAAAAACTGTCAAAGACATTTATTCTTTTTTGTTTATTTCTAAAAAATGTAAAGAAGCACTTAGTAGATTAAAAATTAATCCATTTATTGATGAATTTAATGATAATGAATATTTTGAAAAAACAATCCATTTTATTCTTATTACATTTCCTTCCTTAGAAACCATTTCTGTTCCATATAAATTCTTTAAATTATTTCTTTCTTCACATAATTTTCATAAAAGAATTCAAATTAATTCACCCACAGTATTTGATTCTAACTTATTAATTAATTTAGATGAAAATTATTATAATAAAGATATTTATTCTTCAATTTCTTCAATTAAAAATGGATTTTCATTATTTGAATTAACACTAATGAAGTCATTAGAAAAAATAACAATTGAAAATATTACTTTATTAGAAAGTCTTATTTTACTTCCACATATTAAAGAAATAATAATTATTAATCCTATAAATGATGATATTAAGTATTTTAATTCTACTATTAATCAAATGAGAAAAAGTAATATGAATATGCATATTTTATTTAAAATTATTTTAAAAAATACTATTCATTTATCTCTTTCAAATTATATCATTTTACTTAAATTACAACAATTATGTTGTTTAGAAATTTATGATTTTAGAGATAAATCTATTCAATCTTTCACTAATGATTATTGGTTACTTCCTTCTTTTATTACTTTACCTGAAATTACTTTCATTCATTCAAATTATTCTAAATTACTTTTAAAACTTAATCAATATATTAAAACACAACCATTAAATATAAATTCTTTAATAGAAAATAAAGAATTATATGAAATCCTTTCTTTATTAGAAATAAATAATTATTTTATTCTTCCATTTAATTCTTATCAAAATAATTCACTTCATTTTCAAAGTAATTGTCTCAATACTATTCATTTTGTTGGATTAAAAAAAATAAATGTTCAACAACTTCCACAAATTATTACTCTCCAAATAACTTTATGTTCTAATATAAATATAACTAATAAGTATTGTAAATATTTTATTATAAAATGGAGTCATCATTGTTCATTCAATTCTAGTAATATTAATCAAGTTAAAATACTTCAATGTCATGATATTTCATTTATTAATAATCAAATTAAACCAATTGAAATAGAGGCAATAAAATTTAATAATTCATCTCTATCAAATCTTAATTGTTCTTTGTCTTGTATTTCATGTTATTGTCTCACTGTAACAAATTGTTCTCTTTCATATCTTTCACTTTCTGATTGTGTATCTCTTATTATAAATTCAAATATTTTTACTTCTTCATCAACGTTTGTTCCTGTTTCAATTTATAATATTAATTCAAGTACAATTTATCTTCCTGAATCAATCGAATTAAACGCTTCATTATCTTCATTATTATCAATTATTTGTCCTTTAACAGATTTAATTCCAACAGAATTAATTCAATCATCTACTAACTCAGACAATACTGTTCATTTAAATATTAATAACAGAGAACTTAAACTTATAGAACCTTTATTATGTCCAATTTCATTTGATGGTGATATTTCTATTTCAATTTCACATAAAGTAAATAATCCTCTTAATATTATACAATGCTCAAATCTTAAATTATCTTCAATTGGTTATAGAATTAAATCACTTATAATTAATCAAGTTGGCATCTTGACTGTATCTAATTGTCAAATAGAAAATCTTAAAGCAAATCATATTCAAAAACTAATCCTAACTAATAACTCACAAATACTATCTTCATCTATAACAAAACTTGATCATTTATAATTCATTATTATTTCTTCTTTTTCTTATTTTGTATTAGAGTTCTATACTATTATTATAATCTAAAAATAAACAAGTTAGATACTTCTAAATCTAAAAAGCTATTTTTTTCATTCAAAGTTACTTTATAATTATTTATCTTATAAACACTTTCATTTCATTTGAAAAACTTTCATTTTTATAGAAATTAAGTATAATTCATTTTTTTATTCATGAATTATATTCAATAGATTTTCTATGAATATAGAGAGACTTATTATTTATTGTTTTTTTTTCAAGATAGAATAAAGGTATTTGTCAAAATATTTAACTTCATCAATATTATTATTAAAACAACATACTATAATATTTGATTATTAAAATTAAATTATATCATATAAATATAAACTACAATTTATTATTTCAATTATGACATAAAAATAAATTAGATATTAAATTTGCTTATTGCTGGTAACACAGATAAATTAATAAAAAACATTCTCTTCTGCTTTGAAAAAGAACTTGTTTTCAATACTCATTTTAAATTCAAAAATAATTAAATTATTGTTACTTTTCTTACTCTTCTTGTTCATTAATTCCATCAAACTTTGAAATATCATCTTCAGTCACTCTAACAATAAATTGAGAAGCTCTGATTAATTCTCCTTTATAAAAAAGATAAACATAAAATAATCCTCCACATAATTCTATCAATCCTCCAAATAAAGTCCAATAATTTAAACAACATAAAATACCACTTCTATATAATTAATATAAATTTACTTTCTTTGAAACTTTAACCAACCAAAAAAACAAACATTAAAAAGAAATATATCTTGAAATAAGGTTCATATAACTTTTGAATAAAAACACCATCCATCTGAACTGGTTTTTCAATGACATAAGTTATTACTGAAGAAACAATGGCTATTCCTCCAATTAATTGATTCCATCCAAACCAACACAACGAGATTAATCCCAGAATTAATTGAACTAAAACATTAAATACTTTTGTTAAAATAAACACAAATATCCAACAAACATGGAATAGACGCAAGTGTAACTTTTCTTACAATATCAAGATAATCTGATTTATAATATTCTTCTATATCAATATACTTAGAAAGGAAATTAAAACTTCGAGCACGTATAATCTGATAAAATGTTACTAATCTTTCCCAACGAGTTGGTGGATCAACAGGTGACATAAACACTAACTATAAAGAAAGTATCACTTTAATAAAGTAAAGAAAAGATCACTTTCCTTTTCTCTCTTTTTCAAATGACTCATCAAAAAAGCAAAAACGAAAAAAAAAATAAAATGTTGAATTTAAAGTTCTTCATAATGAGCACTCAAGAAGGTGATGAGGATGATGGAAATCTCGAAGTAAAGTTATCAATTAGAGGAGATGGAGAAAGGTTTCATATTAATATGGAACAACCAATATTATTAAGACTTCCTGAAGATGAAGCAAAAGTGTTGAGAGAACAAATTCGAAGTGGTGATGTTGATTTTAATATTGACATTCCTCAAGGAGAAAATTCTGGTAAATGTATTTTTAATGGAAAAGAATTCTGTGCAACACTTGTTCGTCTTCCTTGTGTTGTTGAAACCCATAAATCATATGATGACGTTGCTTTATATAAAACTGGTGATATTGGGCAAGCAATTATAATTCATGAAAAAGATAATATTCCTAAGATTGATGATAGTGGTAGACTCAAATCTGGACTTACTCCTCCAACTAATAGAATTGTAAATAAATTCCAAAAGCCAATGACTCATGCTGAAAAAGAAAGAATGAAAGAACTACACAAGGAGATTAAGAGTAAAGTAAATGACCTTCCTAAGTCAGAAGAAGATAATTAAATTATATTTTATTAATTTTTAGTTTTAGCTTTTTACTTTTTTAATTTAATTTCTACAATCATAATTATAATAAATTTTATTATTATAATGTTATATTAATAAAAGAAAATGGAAAGTCATAAATCATCTCTTTTATTGGATGACCACTTTGTCTAATTAAGGCAATGGAGAATATTACTTTTGAATCACAACCAACAAGTGACAGTCTTGTTGGAGGAGAGAGGAGTAAAGGAGAAGATGAAATTGAAGTTATGAAATTATGGAAAGATAAAGTTGATCATAAAAAGAATTCAGTAGATAAAGAAATTAATGACACAGAAATTGAAGTTGGAATAGAAACTTCCAACAAACCTGAAGAACAAGAACGAGAAGAAGAACCAAAAGAACAAAATCGTATTATTAAAAAGTTTGAATTTAAAGTTTATACAAAGAATCAACCTCAATATTTCAGTCTTCTTAATAAAGAAAAAGAAGAAACAAAACCAAGAAGATCTAGTTTTTTAAGTAAAAAAAGTATTGAAATAATTAAACTTCCACCATTTAATGAACTTAAATTACCTAGACTAGATGCATTTTCATCTGACGCTCAAACATGTCTTAATCAAAATATCCAATATCAACAACCACCCTTTTTTGTACAACAACCAGAAATAATTAATAATACCCAAGAGATAATACATCAAAAAGAAGAATTTTCATTATATCCTACAGTTTCTTTTTCTACTGATACTGAACAATATGATTGTTGTAATTCTTTTATAAATCACAGTGAACAATATCTTCAAGCAGAACAACAATATCATATAAATGATGAATTCTCTAATTCTCTACTAATTCCAAATAAAATTGGAATTAATATAAATGCCAATTATCCATACCAAATATTACAAATGAATAGAGATAGTTCTGTTATGCCATCTCAACAAATTCAAAATGAACTTTTAAGTGAACAACAATCTTATTTAGACTTTAATTCTTTATCTACTTATATTATTGACTTTTGTGCTCAAAATAAAAATATTAGTTTTCAAATTACTGACTCTTATATTAGACTAACTGGTCCTAATAATACTTGTCTTACTTTTAATCAAAATGACCCAATAGATCCTCTCTTACATTTTCAACTTCCTATTGTAAATGGTTTGTTATTTGTGATTTCTATCATTTTTAACTTTTAATATTCTTCTCACAATTATTAGATTCTGAACCATTACAATTAGAGTCATTATCAACAGCTCCTATCTCTCTTACGGAATTATTATCTTTGTTCTTTCATGTGAATTAATTTAATTTTTTCTTTCTTATTTTTCTAAGTATAAAAGAAAAGAGATCGAAGGTGGCACGTCTGAAACACCACACATAAACCCTAGTACAAATTTATACTTCGACTCTCCCAGTTATTATCTGGTTATGACGGTGCCTTTGAATTAGGAATGTATTAGGGAATGCTGCAAAGGGTGCAGCAAGAGAATAAAGTAGAATATTACATGGATGTAATATAAGAATCTACTGAAGTGTGGGTATGACTAAAAGAAGATTAGTCAAAGTAATACAGTAGTAATAAAATGATTCCTTCTTCCATTCATAAAATAAGAAAAATGAAATTCCTTAAAATTAAGGCAGAAAACAAACAAAGGCTTAAAAAGAAGAATTAAGCGAAGAAGTTTGAAAAACCTTAATAAGAAGAAATAAAAGAAAGAAGTGCTTTCCTCATTTTGCAAGAAAAACATAAAGAATAGGTTTAACAAAGAGATTACTCTTTTTTAATAAGCTCAGGGATGGGATTAGTCTCCCCTGAGCTAGGAAGAATAGATGAAAATTCTATTAAAACTTAATTAACTAATTTTTATTTTCTAAGTATAAAAGAAAATGCTCTTTTGGTTAATATAAAAAATAATAAATGTTAATTATCTAAATAACCATGTTCCTTAATAAATGCATATTGGTCAGGTATTTCTTGTAATGCTTTAACAGCAAATACTATATCTTGAAGATCAGGGCGAGCAGAAACAACTTCATAGAAATTAACAAATTGAAAGTTATCGAACTTGCTTTCAGTTAAATTATCATCATAATCTACTCTTTATTAATTTAGTTGAAAGTAAATAAAATAAAAAACAAACTTTCCATCTTATCAAATGGACCATCTCCAACACCAATAGCAACAATTGAAAGTGGATAATTAGACGCTTCAATAATGGCTGCTGTAGTATCTTTTTCATTATCAACTTGACCATCACAAATAATTAAAAGGATATGATAAGAATGTGTAGTACGAACAATGTCAATAGCTTTTCTAATTAATGGAGCAAAATTTGTTGGTCCAGACATTTGAACACTTGGTGTTATTTCATTATATCTTCTCAAAACTTCAGCAACTCCAGCACATGGAGCTTCATTAGGCATAAATGAAAATATACTTTTATTAGTGGTAGTGACATCTCCAAATCCATATGTTGGAATTAATCTATCATCATCAAAAGGTTCTAAAGCACGTCCAATAGCATCAATAACTCGTTGGTATGGATTAAAAATAGGATATTGTGGATTAATATAATGTAAACATTGTCCACCAAATGATACTTTTCCTGTCCATGTATTTGATTTAGTATAATCAATACCAATAAGTAAGTTGGAACTTTCTAATCCTGCATTTCTTAATGCTTGTTGAAGTTCTTCCATAGTTGAAAACTGATCAGGGATGCTGTGTTTATTTGATTTTGAAGTAGAAGTAGTTTTCTTGGATGAAGGTTTTGTATTTTGACTTCCCATAATAAATTCAATGACTTATGATTTAAAAGCAGTTGACTTTTATAGTTAAAAGAGACACAAAGAGACAACTCATCTTTTGAATTATAAATTGTTATTACATTGAATTATTCTTTTTTTAATAATTAAAAAAAATGAAATTAAATTATTATTTTGTAAAATTTAAATTAAGCAATTATATCCCATTTACCTGTTGTATCTATAGTAATTGGTCCAATAATATCTGACCCTTCTGAATCTACTACACCTAAAAGATATTGATTTCCTGCCCAACAATGATTTAAATAAAGAATTTTCATACATCTCTCAATTAGATGTTCAGCTTCTTCTCGAGACATATGATCTTTCCATTCTTTTCGTAATAGTGGCATAGCCATATGAGCACCTATACCACTAGCAACATAATTTTCTGTAAATGATGTACCATACATATCAGTTTGTCCAAGGAAAATTTCATCTTTTTTAACTCCTCCAACAATCAATGTAACAAATAATGGTTTTTGATCACATCGATGTTTGTATAAAATACGTTGAGCATAACTATATAATTCACTTGGTTTATATCCATTTTCTTTACCTTCACAACATTCATCACCATTGCTATTTAAATTAAATCCAGATAATAAATTATTATTTGAAGAATAACAAACACTTTCTTTTGTAGTGTTTCATTTAATTCAATGAAATCAGAATATTCACCTGAACCAGCAATTATTGTGTATTTCCCTAATTTTATGACTCGTTCTAAATCTTTGAATAATGCCATAGACCCATATGATCCAAGTGTATCTGCGGCAATAAGAACACCACCTTCATATTTAATACCAAGAACAGAAGCTGTA